GCTATTCCCGCTGCGCACTTGACAATTTCAGGAACGCTCTCGGTCAGAATTCCATTCCTTCTTATACAATTACTCTACGAAAACATTCTCTTTAGACCACAAACATAATCATGGCGAATTGGTCAACAGAGATGTGGCAAAGTGTGGTGAACAGAGCGGTTCGAACGTTGGCATCGGGTCCACTTGGAACGAACTTCTTCTCAGCATTTGCCACCGTCAGTTAAAAACGCGATCTCATTTGTGAAGCGAATGGAATAAACTTTACATCTATGCGAATCCTTCCGCTTGAACTTTTGGTAGAGTACTAAGCCAGAACTGTCCCTCATGAATGTTCCCAGGTGAGAAGGTGAATAAAGTAGAGTTTATAACGTGACAAGGAGTTACTGATAACATCGTTAATTGATTGAAAAATGCTTGGGTAAAAAAATGTTCAAGTTCATAAATGGAGAGGATACCCACATCCTCACAACTGACCAAAAAGAAGCTCGTGAAAGATGGAGTATTAGGAAACGCGAATACTTGGATGGCATGTGTTCACTGATTGTGTAGTCCCAGCATAATTTCCATCCATCGGATAATTGATAGTTTACCCATTGTGGTTCCTTAAAGTCTCGAGGTCAGTTAGAAGAAGCCTTTAGGTCATTACCACCATACGCAGTCGCGGCATTTGTTGATCAAAGGAAGATATGCAACCATGCAACTACTTTGATACTAGGACGGTAGTGATTTCACTCTTTCGTTTACTCTTAGCTGAGCTTCCAAAAGTTCGAAAAAGCTGGATTCCATCCCAGCTTGGGAGGCTCTCCTGTGTCGATGAACCTCCTCGCTGAACATCGCAAACCGATACCCATGAACACTTCCCATTCACTACGAAGCAGCAAACCGTTAAATGTTAGGATAAAAATAGTAAAGGTTTAAGATTAGATAGCTGTGCTGTGTCATGCTGTAAAAATAAAGATGCTCTCCTCAATATTCTTGTTGAGCATACACGAGATATTTCTTTATTGTTTATGCCGTTCCAGCCGATGTTCCGCCAGTATCACCTTTTTCAGAACCTGGAAGGGTATATTCATACGCAATTTACTATGATAAGCGCTAACACAAAGTAAAAGGTGAAAATCTAAATAGCAATCATATGTTCAACAGCTTTTCGAAAAACTTACCACTTTGATAAGCTTTCCACTAAGGAAGGGCCGCTGATCGGAGCCCCATATGGATGACGAGGAGGTGCGGGGCAAAGCCACGTGTGATCTCTGGGCTTTCCCACCTGCTATTTGTTCTACGGTTCTTGGCACTTATCTAAAAACCCTCAAGATTTTTGTGCGCCGCTGTTTTGGCATGGATAATGACTTTTATGTCAATATATCAAAATCGTCCTCTGCTCAAAATAAGGAACATACTATAAACAAGAGAAATATCCGACAAAAAACACCTGGTTAATAAACCAAGTGAAAGAAAAGCAAAAAAACGAAGAAACGGCTGAAATTACAAATCGGAACGGGATCACTAAATCGCAAGTTTATTCTGTTTGTCATAATGTGGTCAATGTAACTGGAGCATTCGAAGATATTCGTTCCGTTGAGCGTGAATGGGGCATGCGAAACCAATCCGTTCTTCATGAACATCGTTTTTGTGAAATTTAGTGGAAGGCCAATCTTTCCACATGCTTTATCAAAGTCGTCAAGCATACATTTCGCTTGGCTAATCTTTGGTGTTATAAGGAAGATGTCAGCAGCAAAGCGAAGATGGTGTAACTGCCGACCATCGACTTTCACTGCCACATTATCCCATTCCAATGTTTGAATGACGCTTTGAAGACTGGCGGTAAATAATTTTGGCCAGAAGGTATCGCCTTTCGTAACCCCTCCTTTGACGTTAATGTTAACATCGTTGCAAAATGGTGATATGTTGGTTGTGAAGTTTTTGTACAGCTCACGAAGAATCTTTATGTACTGAGTGGGGACTCTTTGACTATCAAGGTCTTCCAATACTGCTTCTATCTCAAGTGAATCAAGGGCTTGCTCTAAGTAGATAAAAGTGAGAGAAAGCTATTTTATGCTCTCGCGGTGCTTCAACGAGTTTTGTTATTGTGTGGATGTGGTCCATCGTACTAAATCCTTTTCGAAACCCTGCCTACTCTCATGGATATCCTTCGACCAGTGCTCTTTCAATCCTGTTTAGGATGACTCGAGTGAAAAGTTTGCAGATGACAGGCAACAAGCAGATTGAGTGATAGTGGTCGATAATCTGTAGGTCTCCATTCTTGAACAATAGCACGGTCATGCTGGTCTTCCTCATTGTAGGCACCTTGGATTCAGACAGGTAACGTGTGAAGAGTCGAGCCTGTGTGTTTGCAAGAACCGGCGGAAGGTTCTTCAGGTGTTCCGGTCTTACGCTATCCGTACATATTATTGTTCCATTGCTCAATAGTGGCAGGTCGGATTTCGGAAGGGAGAACAGGTGGTGCAACACATTCATCCTTTTTTATTTCATGTGACGGAAGGTGAACGTGGCTATCGAAGAGGTCTGAGTAGTATTCGTGAATGATTTTCTCCAATGACTTTCTGGACCCTACAACTGTTCCCTATGAGCGACGGAGTGCAACCATCTTGGTCTTTTAATTGGCGAGGCATTGGTGGACTTTGCGAATCCTTTTCGCGGCCTCTGCAACTTCGATGCGATTCCATGCCGGCGCACCAGCTCGAGTAGTTCTGAAGGCAAACGTCTCTTGGTGACTTTCGAACTCTCAGCTTTCATAGTGCTAGCGTGAGGATGTTTAATGAGCCCATTGTATTCTTCGTCGATGTTATTGACAACGGCATCTTCCCAACAGCCGACTAATAAATTGAATAAGTCCCAGTTTGAGGTGGTTCGGTGACTTCGATTTTGGAATTTAGCCGCTTTTTCTCCCTTCCGCGGTACAGTTTAAATACAGTTTTACTTATCGCGGTAGCCTAGAGCTTCGATGTTCTTCAGAGGGCATATTCATCGGTTATTTTTAGCAGTAATTCGGTTTTAAAGGAAGATTTTAAAGGTTTTAAAGGAAGGAAGGTTTTTTTTTTTTTGACACGCCTTCCACTAAAGAAGGACAGCTGATGGGAGCCCCATATCGTTGACAACTCCCACGGAGCGATGGCACGTGTGATCTCTGGGCTTTCCCACCTGCTATTTGTTCTACGGTTCTTGGCACTTATCTGAAAACCCTCAAGATTTTTGTGCGCCGCTGTTTTGGCATGGATAATGACTTTTATGTCAATATATCAAAATCGTCCTCTGCTCAAAATAAGGAACATACTATAACAAGAGAAATATCCCACAAAAGACACTTGATTAATAAAACTAACGCAAACCGACCAAGTAAAAGAGAAGCAAAATGTCAAAGAAACTGCTGAAATTTCAAATCAAGACGGAATCACCAAGCCACAAGTTTAGCGCGCATAGGATCTACGAAAAAAATTATTAAGGAAAAAAAGAAAATACTACAACAACTGAAAAATTGAAGAAAACAACATTACGAAAAATCAACTTCCCGTAATTTATGGAAAGAAAAGCAGCCCAACTCAGCGACGATAGCGCCCAAAAATGCTCAAAAAGTACATGGATAGCTTTATTAAATCTGAACTCGTCTTACATATCATTACTATACCAGAACCATTATACACCTGCATCACCTGTAGTCCGTTTGATGATCGAGTAATTCAGTCGCCGAGCGTCATATCTTTCTCCTAGGCTTTACGTAAGAAACCCTGACCATCGGGTCGCTGTTTTTCCTGCAGTGCAATTAACATCCCGTGGAATCCAGTCACTAACGGGTTTTGCCCATCAGTTGTCATTCATAAGCATTAAGTGTCCGTCCTACCTTATCGTCGACTGTTTGGCGTTGAAAACGGCATGCTTGATTTTTGATCGTTTACGTAGGTCGGAGCTTCGGATTCCTTCTCTTACTTATGTGAAACGGAATACTCCTAGCTCCATCCGTTCGACCTCGCATTCGATAACGCTGAGTGCTTTTTCATCCTGTCTACGCCGCGAACAGGTTTCTGACACAGGCGTTAAAGCAAGAATTGTCGTGAGTCGAAAACGTGGAGACGGAATCGGGTGTTCTCTGTTCTCTTCACTACACCCTCGATGATCTTGAAAGCTCTTCAAGCCGTTCGTTTCCTTCTGCTCAGGTCTGGAACTAAGCCGTTCAACATGCTGGTTTCGCGACCTAGATTGGCATAACCGAAGCGTTCGGAGAAACTTGTTTCGTTGAGCGTGAATAGAGCATGCGAAACCAATCCGTTCTTCATGAGCTTCGTTTTTGTGAGAAATAGTCGAAGATTAGGCTTTATCAAAGTCGGTAAGCACTCGTTCCGCTTGGCTAATTTTTGGAGTTATAAGGACGATGTCATCAGCAAAGCGAAGATGGTGGAACTGCCGACCATCGATTTTCACTCCCATATTATCCTATTCCAATGTTCGAATGACGTTTTGGAGGGTGGCGGTAAATAATTTTGGCGAGAAGGTAAGGTCGGCACTTACACCATCTTCGCTTTGCTGATCATATCGTCCTTATAACAGCAAACATCAGCCAAGCAGAACGTGTGCTTGACGACGTTGATAAAGCCTGTGTTAAGATTGGTCTTTGACTAAATCTTACAAAAACGATGTTCATGAAGAGCGGATTGGTTTCGCATGCCCTATTCTCGCTCAACGGAACGAATATCTCCGAATGCTCCAGTTATATCTATCTAGGCCGGAAAACCAATATGATGAACATCCTAACTCTAAAACTCAGTAGATGGAAACGAGCAGCTTGGGGAGCTTTCGAGAACGCATACGCATACCAATGAACTTCTAGGACTACATCTTTTCTGGTTTTCAAACACTCAATTAGGGAGTGATATCGTACAATGTATGGTTGCTGGCAATGATCACTGGCCAAGCAGAAACCAAGAAATGGGAGAAAGAGTTTTATTTTCACAGTATCATGTAGAACTTAATAAAAGCGCTAGAAGTCAGATATGTTCCCAAAGAGTGACGTCTGCATCGACATTGTCGGAAGTGAGAAGTCGACGGCTTGCTATAACCGAGCGATTAAAACGACCAAACATTTTCTTCTGCAAAATGAGGACGAGACAAAGATAAGCGTCACTTTCGCCACTAGATTCTGGATCAAGATAAGCTGAACATAGGGTAAACCAAAAAAGAACCGGAACCGAAAAGAGCACACGTAGAGTTGATTTCTTCGAGGCGAAGCAAGTCTTCAGACTCTTATTAGGAAAAGAAAACAAGGAACTCACTACAATGGAGAACGAGTGAGATCGACGTTTAGCTGGAGGTGACCTCTGAAAAGTATTGCCATATGCTATAAAATTTCTGGATAAGAATATAGATAAGAATAAGAAGATAAGAAGATAAAAAGGATTTTCCAAGAATCGATGAGTGATCCTTATTAACAAATTTGATAGTGCTATCGCCGTATACCGAAGTTTACAAGAATCCGCGTTGTCTTACGGCGAGAACATTATACTATACTCTTACATAGAGAACATAAGTACTTCTGAATAAATAATAGAAGTAGCAAAGCTATACCTCACTCGGTTCATTCGAATGGATGTTTTTTGCACTCTGAAAAGACAAAAGTACTTCTACCGAAAGCCAATCATTAAAACAGGCAAGTTTTTGTGCAAAAAAACACTAACCATAATGACCGCACATTAAACAGACGAGTCGGACAATGTCACGTTGAAGTTGGAAACGTCATTCTCTTCGAGAAATCTCTAAACTAAAAATCTTGGGGTGCCTTTGAAACAGAAGCAACACCAAAGTGTTGACATACCACCTCGGATCTAACAGAAAGTTCTTCCGATGTCGTAGAAGTGCTCCTTCTTTGTAATCTGGATCTTATATACACATCAACAGCTTCTTGCACGAGTGTGCTAATCTAAATTATGCAATTCTCTTCAATAAAGAAATAAACAGCATAGAACAGATTTTGAGTAGGTCGTTCAAGTAGCCAAGGAAGACAACACTTACTCACTTTATGCTTCAGTTGTACTAGCTGTACGTTGAGTGATGCGACGTGCACGATAAGTTGGCCTATTGCGACATTCGGTGACTATAAGAAAGGACGATAAGAGAAAGAATTTCACACACCTCAGGGTAGTGTTTTGCAGCAGTTATGTTTGCCAGCAGGAACATGGGTGAACTTTTCACGAGGAAGCGTGAAGTGGGACCACCACAAATTCCGGATGTTTTCTCATAAATTCGGAAGAACATTATCGTTTCAAGGTCTTACCGACATGATGTCAAAAACTGGGCTCTTTCAGTCTCCATTTACTCTGCTGTAGAGTGCGAGCACGTAGCTCAGGAGGTCTCAGACGCCAGTGTGAACTGGTGTAACCGTGCTGCGCAAAATTTGAACAACAGAACATACTTTCGTGGCCATTCCTCTGATGAGATTAGGGACTTGGGCATTTAATACTCGTATCCTATCGCGCAATCCTTCTATCGATGTCGTCACTTGTCGACGATCCGCAGAGGCAAAACGATGAGCCATTTTCGAATGAAATTAATTCGACTGTAGAGGAAATCTCTCTCTAAGAGAGAAAATTATCGCAGCATTAGATTTTATGCGTTATCAATTGGAGTTAAGAATATTCATGAAACAAAAGGAGTTATTATTTGGAAATCAAGAAACATGGAATTATGTGTAGAACTGAAATATCAGAGTAGCTGCGGCGCTCTGAAACCAAGCACAGTGGGCACAAACGGACTTTGAAACGTTCATGAACTTTCGAAGCGAATCGGAAGATTTTCAAGGAGATTAAAATTGTTGGAACCAACGGAGCCAACTTCCCATCGATAGGAACAATAGAGAACATTCTTGGTACGGGTGTGAATATAACGCGTTTTTTTCACATCCCAAAGGTGATTGGAGGAAGATCAGCACAGATCAATATCATGCGCGTCAACACTGCCCACCCAGTAACGATGCTACCGCCTAGGTGAGCAAGTATCTTGCATTTTTTGGGGAAGATTAAACTAGTGACCAAAAACGAATTTGCAGCTGTTCTGAGACACGCGCCGATTCACACGAGACTGTGTGCCATTTTTTGTGGATTGGCATGTTTATGCAAAATTCCTGTATGTGGTCGGAGGAAATGCGTGGGATTTCGTTAGGGATAGCGTTTCTGACAGTTCGACACCATGTGCGGTCAGGAAAAGTCTGAAACACAGCATGTGAGTTCATCAACATACGCAGACCTCTGGGAATGCCATCCTTGGATCGAGAACTTATCCTTATGCTTGACAGTGCTTAATAGTCTTGTATTTGTCCACTTTTGTTTTGAAATGTGTTATCGGTGTGCGACTCGGCCTCTAAAAGGAGCGATAAGCTCGACAAAACACTCGCTGTTATAAAACCCAGGACTCCGAGGAAATTTCTATTGAGACGTTCGACAGTCAGTCTCATCCTGAACAACTTGCCTCCTATGTTGTAGCATTTCGGCAAAATGAAAATGAGTCAACAGCTTTCAACAGCTTGAATTGTTTGACTCTGCTCATAAAATGAGCACAAAGAAAACAGCATCCACAGTCCCATTTGTACCTCTACTTTTTAAAACTAAGCTCCTGAAATCGCTGACTCTTCTACCCTTCGCAGTCGATGTGGTGGTCTTCCACCAAACGGACATCGCGCATGGGACTACTCCCACAGCCCCGGAAGAAATTCTGCCCTTTAGTTTTTAGCGAAAGTGTCTAAGATTGCGGTGAACTCTATTTATTGGAATAAAAATGAGTAAAGCATTCGCGAAAAAGTCAAATCTCTTTATTCTGCCAACATAAATTCTGATTTCCTCAAATAATGCAACTTTTTTGTGAATACATGTAATTCGAACTGCAAATCGATTGATGAACTGAGCCTACACAATGTATTGTTGGTGTCTACGGTTTCCACCGCCTGTTTTTTAGGCTCGGAAACCTCGAATTTATTCTTCCTTTTTTGGTGAGTAGCATTTTACGTAAATTCTTCCACCTAGCACTTTTACCGAGCTCCTCTTAAACCGACCATTGACCCTTGATGACTAAAAAGGAAAATTCCTTTAAAACCGAATTACTGCTAAAAATGACCGATGAATATGCCCTCTGAAGAACATCGAAGCTCTAGGCTACCGTGATAAGTAAAACTGTATTTGATAGGCAATGTCCCGACTACAAAGGTTCGTCTTTTGCTAACAGAGGTACACATTATTTCGAGCTTTAGCAGTTCATAATTGCCGTTAAAAATCGGATGTTATACTTGATTCAACCGAGGAAAAACGATTATTGTCGCTGGTATGACCTAACAGAATAGAAAGAGAACCTCTGAGTGGAACGAAAACTGGCAGCTCTGCGAAGATGACGTCATTCAAGCGAAAACGAATCTCTGTTCTGAATAACAGTGGCACATCCTACAATTAATGAGAAAATGCCAATGCGCAAATAAGGAAGAGATGGAATTGAGCGACAACTTCAGGATTTCTTGCTACAAATGGACGACTGCGAGAGATTATCTATACGTGATGAAAACTGTACCAAGGTGCCGGTTAAATAAATTTGTTCAAGGTTGTTTATTGTGGATAACGCTCCGACAGTATCTCTCTTTTCGACGGCGCAATGATTCAAGTCGAGTTTTCACAGTTCTTTGCTTCCTCTTTGCGACTTCTACCTGGAAAGCGAAGCTTTGATTTCCTAAATCTATTTCGTCTTCGAAGTTCAGGAATAACACCTATCGACAACGAAACATAGATGAACCGATCATATAATAAGAAGGGCAGATAAAAGGTGAGCAAAGCGAACAGGGAGTGGACTCCATGAGAATACTGGTGTCCTCTACGAAGACCATTAAAACGATGGATGGACGTGTTCGTTGCCAACGTTAACCATCTACGGTGGAAAGGGGAGTTGATTTTGAAAATTTGGAATGATCCTCATGGACGTCACTATGTTCGAGACAGATCGCCATCGTGGACACCGATTCCTTCAGAAGGAAACGACAAACGTATTGAAGCCTAGTAGAATGTATATCAGTATACCCATCCAGGCTCTGAAAAAGGCGATACTGCCGAAACGTCAGCTAGCGTTGTACTGTATTGTGTTTCTCTTTGGAAGTAAATGTATGCTGTTTAGAAACCTCACGATTGCTGAACAAGAAAGCGACGCATTCATATTCCAATGCCGAGGTTAATAGAAAGTCGATACTGGAAACGACAGAATCAAGAGAGCAACAGAATGAGTAACGATGAAATCGAACGCGTGGGGCAACTTTCACGGATTGATCAAAGCTGAGAGCTTCACCCTTCATTCCGTTTGTGATCTGAGGGTTAACAAAAACAGTAGTTCTTCAAAACAAAAGAAGTAGTGGAAACCTGCCGTTAAAAAGACGAAGAGATTAAGTGGTCAGTCTTTCTTCTTGGAAATCGTAAGAAATGGGAATTTCAGTGATTATCAAAGTCGACACCAGCTCTGTGTATGCCAACCATTGAGTCGCGAGTTATGAAAAGACGTAAACATTGCAGACCACCTAATCATCTCCATTTTGCTGGCAGAGTATGCTGCAATGGACAAAAGATGTTGTGAAGGATAAAACCCTCTATCAAACTTGTCGATAGAAATCCTAGTTTTTCCGACAATTGGTATAAGATGGTGCTCTCCCCTCAGCACAGAAACTGATCAAAAATAAAAGTGATCTGAGCGGGACATGCAAGAAGAGCAGAGAAAGGACCCCCAAAACAGGATACGCACCAGGAGTTCATGACAAGACAAATGAAGGCAGAGCGACGTTACTTTTATACCCAACACATATGACGCGGTCTTTCAGCGAACTAACCAAGACCATACGACGGCCACAAGTTGTTGTACGCTAAAACTAGAAAAGGTTTCTGTAGATCCATGCAAGCAAATGCCACCGTAGCTCTGATAGAACGCTAGAATTTTCAACTAGTGTAACTAATGATGTTTCTGTAAATGACTGCTGCAGTGAGAGCAATCTACCGAGACACGATGTATAGTAGTTCTCCACTCATTTAATGTGCTGAGTTTCCAACTTCAACGTGACATTGTCCGACTTGTCTGTTGAATGTGCGGTCATTATGGTTAGTAACTCCCAAGTCCGACTTTCTATTTACCTCGGCACTGATTGAATATATCTTTTTACTTCTGTTTTCTCTGTTTGGGGAGGTGTTTGGCCGAATGGATTGCTGTCAACTTGACCCTTACAGGCTCTGAGGAAGGCGAAATCCGCCGAAACGTCAGCTTGTGCGTAAATAAAGAAATAAAATAGCATCTCGTATTTGCTGAACAGAAGTAGAAAGATCATTATCAACCTCGTGTATGCTCATCAAAGAAAGAATACAAATTAGAGGGTTGGCGATGGAGGAGCGTTTAGCACGAAGTCTTGCCATCGCTTTCAAATCTAAGGTGGAAGCTCCATTTCTCGATCACCGACCCTTACTCTACTGTCGATACATAGACGACTGTTTCATCGTCTGTTCCACACAAGAACGGAGTGCTTTGAATTGTTAAACCGACTGTCAGAGTATACAAAATTTACACGAGAAAAGCCTACCGAGAACTGGCTTCCATTCTTAAACATCCGAATAAAGCTCTCCGTATGTGGCTATGTAACAAAATGGTATCGCAAGCCAAGTAGTAAAAACATTCTAGTCCACTGCCTCTCCTCTCATCATTCACACATGAAAAAAACACTTATCAAAAATATGTATCGTACGGCTAAAAATGTGTGTACAGGAGAAGAGGAAAGGAAGGAATCGCAAAACCTGGCACGAAAAATAGCCAGAGGTGAAATCCATAAGTGTTTCGCTATTAGTCGCACTGAACAAGGACAAGATTCCTGCCCCTTCCTGTCACGATAATGAAATCAGAACGCAAAGGTTTTGCTTCAACCCGAAACACAGCCATTCCTCGCAACCCACTTGACAATATTTCTCCGAAATGAAGTTTTGTAGCAAAAGATCTTCAGAAATACCGCACGAGAACGTAATGCCATTTGAAGAACTGCTCAGCAGTGAAGCGGACACTACCGTGCCACAACCAATTGGTCACGGAGTGGTTAAACCTAACATAAACATCGTTCGACTGCCACTTCAACTTCAACAAATCTCAAACTTTGCGCACTTCTGATCTTGACCACGTTAGTGGTTTTGAGTACCACTTACACGGCGTACGAACGAAGCCATTAGGAATATAGTCGGCAAGCAGAACAACATCAAATATTACTTTAGAGTCCGGACCTCTGATAAACGTCCCAATGTTCGAGAAGCAAGGTAAAACAGAAAAAAAATCCAAACATGAGATGTATTGAGCGAAATCGTTAACAACAAATGGAGTTAAAGAATGAAAGAGTTCACCATATCGACACCTACTGAACATCGTGTTTACGTCTCATTTCGATAAATTGTACCCACAGACAAGTACGGTTAAAGGATTCACCTGGTAACAGTGTGTTTTGAAAGCGCGCCTCTTCCGTGGATGACTGATGTGACCGAAAGAAAGAGAATA